TTTGTTTGTTTGTTTGTTTTGGTTTTCTTTTTTCATTATCAAGTAGTAGCTAAAATAAAGGACTGTCACTGCCCACTAATTTATTAAAAATAATTGGGAGAACAACAGCTTCAGAGATGCAGACTTCTGTTATAAAACCAGTAGTTTATTTAAGGTGGCTGGTTTCCTCCTGGGTGCTTGGTTTCAGTTTTCATTCTTTTTTCCTTCCTGTACATTTTTTTTCCATAGCCTGTCCTACACGTTTGGTCGGAGAGAGTAGAAAACTGATTTGAATCAAGATCTTGGCCAGACCTGCTTTCTGCACCTATTTCAATTATCARTTAATTCTTTGTCTTTCCATTGAGTTTTGTCTGTGTGTTTGGTGAACAAAATAAGGAATTACAAAATTTTATGTAGAACTATTTTTTTTCCTGTTACTTAGAAGTTATAAGGTCTTAATAATCCTGAACTTTACAGCTGATATTGAGTCTTAAATTTGACTTTCCTAGTAACTTACTCTGTATTATTTTAGTCTTATTTAATACAAAGTGTATTTGAAGTGTGCTGATTTCTGTGTTGCTAATACCACCTCTTTTGCACTGCTAATTGGAGTTACTGTTAATTTTAACAAACGTTTTTGAKTTTCTATGCAGGAAGTTAAAACTTTTGTAGATACATTGCTGTCAAATACTTTGATTTGTGTGATATAAACGAAACTCTAGTTATCAAGTGAATGAATTGTGTTTTGTGCACTTAGGATCTTTGCTTAAATTAGGTATTGATAAAGTTAGCAATCACAATGGACCTTCTAGTCATTAAGTGTGAATTAGAGAGGGTTTACTGTGTTTTGTATGATTGATGTGTTTTCTTGCTTTCTACCTTGACTGCTTTATATATTTTCTTGYGCACTGATCTATAAGCAGTCTCCTCAAGTGTCATACCAGCATTTTCAATGGACATATTGTAAGCAAAAATTAACCCAGGTTGAATGGGAGCTATACTCATTTTGATTTATAGCTRCCAAGATGGTCTTAGGGCGGTGGTTATCTGTAGCTTATGTAGAGGGTAGGAATTATCAGGTACCTGTATATAGTGGCTAGATGAATGATTTCTGTTCTGAGAGATATTAACCAGATCCACTCCTCAATAAAGACTAATAACTCAGATTTTTAAACAGTCTTCATGACAGATGAGGGCACAGAGGAGAATGCATCAACACTAATTAAGAATGTTGACCGTTTGTTCGTCTTAGCCATGATTAATTGATCTTGGAGTGCTATCTCTGAACAGGAAGTGGTATGCTGTTACATTGTGAGGTTTAAAGGTTACATTTTAGTGTACCCTTTAACTTGCCTTTGCATACAACATAAAATATTTTTACCTATCTTATCTAAGAAGAGAAAGAAACATTTTCCAGCYCAGATATGAATTAATGTTTGGTGTACTATGTACTAATGTGATTCTGGCTGGTCATGGGACTTKTTTAATCTGCTCTTAGACTCTCTTGCTGTGTTATATACTTAGTCTCCCCAGCTGTACTCAGAAAATTTCTTCATTAATACTCACTTTGAGATTCTGGCTTATTAAAATTCAGAGCTATACATTCTTTCTCTTGTCCCTCCCAACCTCCTCCAGCTTTTTTCTGTTCTTGCTTTCTTTGGGCTTGCACTTTTTAGGTCCTTCACCTCAGACAAGTGTTGAGCAGCTAATGCAAAGACTCCTGTTCTTTAGATTTGTATGCCTGATTAAACTAAAGTTCCTATATGCCTGACAGCAGGTCCGGTCACCTGAGCCTTACACATGCTCTTGGGATTGGAGGGTAAACTACCTACATGTAGAGACTCCCTTAAAAAGAGAACCTTGTCCTGTTCTACAGTCAACTTACCAACTCATT